CAGATGGAAGGAGAGCAGAAAGAGAAGGGGGCTAATCTGTGTTCTTTTAAAGTTGAAAATAAAAGTGAAACCCGTAAATTCTTAATGACAAATACAAGGATATAGACAGAATAAATGGTCATAGTTAGAAGACAGTTAACCCGTGATAAGTTTTTCTGCTTTCAATTTTAATATGTTACAAACCAACTTCCTGTGTGTGCTATGCTATCTAAACCTGAGTGACTTCGTATAGAGTAGGTGTATACTCACTAGCTAATATCTAGTTTCTCACAGTGAATCTCCAACTTGAGCTTGCTAATTTATTTCTCCTTTTTCTGTATTTTTTTAAAATAATCTAATATAGTCCTGTAAATTTCTCTATATTCACAGAGATTCAGGAGCACTAACTTAGAAATTGAAATTAATACACCTTGTTTTTTGGGTAATTTCTAATTAATATTCCCTGATTCTAGTGTAGCTTCATGTGACAGTGTGGATCTATTTGGTGGGTTTTTAGGGTAGTTTAAGAATGGGGCAAAATTATTAAGGTATGAAATTTGTTGAAACTTCTTACTATCTGCTGTAAAACTCACTTCAATCACTCATTTATTCTTTCAATCTCAACATTTTTTCCCAAGCTTAATCATATGATTGGCGAAATATGAATATAACCATTAGGAGTCCATAACTGTAGGAGGACAAAAACACAAACTCATGGGAAATATCATATAAGAACAATAACAGCCAATGAAGTTTTGATTTTGAGACAAAGCCTCACACCCACGTTCACACTGGCCTGAAACTCACTATAGAGCTGTTGTATGAACTTTTCCTGGGGAGATTTGAGCAAACATCTGTTCAGATAGCACACCAATGACAGAACCAAAAAAAAAAAAAAAAACAAAACAAAACAATTCAACCAATGTTCCCTGTGGCAGACCAATGACCTTATTGTTCTTACCTACAGAGCCCAGGCGAGGAGTTGCGTACAGGAGTGTGGACACTCAATGCAGCTACATTACTAGGAAGTCTTGCCCCAGCATGGTGGAAGGCTTCCCCATAGCTGCATAGATGGAGAATCTCCTGCACCCCTTCTCTCCCTGTCTCCTTCCCACCCCTCCCACCTCCAAATATATATATTGCCTCTTGAGACCATGTGCACCTTGGGGAAAATTACACACAGCTGGGGGTGAGGGAATGCTTGGCTGAGATCTTAGATGAGGATCTAATGATCGATCTTGAGGGTCTCTTGTGAGCAGTCCCAGCTGCTCTGACCAAAATGGTAATAGCTGTTTGGCTTGGAGGGCAACATTCTTCCACAGCTGCCCAGGCTGGCTAAGAATTTGCAGCGTTCTTGTTGGCATTACAGGCATGAGCTACAGGCCTGATGGCATGAGCCGCCTTTGATCCATGCAAGCAATAGCCTAAAGAAGAATCTTCCATTGAAAACAAACAAACAAAAACAAATCAGCAACAGCAACTAACAGAAGGAAGACAGACTCAGCCACGACTAATTCGAAGTCTGTAAGAGCTCACTTTACAATTAATTCATCTTCTTACAGGCTCGTGTTTATTTGTAACCTTTCTTGTGCTATTACAGTTTATTTGGTCTAAAAAGTTCTCTTCATGCACATGGCCTTTACTGAATTTGGTATCTTGAGTATGTGTCTGTAACCTCACTTAGAATTTTGATTACCAAACAAATAATAAACAACACAATTCTTACTTGGAAAAATTACTTTGGTTGGGCTTGGGGGAATTAAGTTAAACCAAACTATGGGGGTGCTATTTAAATTTCCTGTTTCCCAAGATGACACATTATTTTGTAGTAAAGGACCGAGGAACCAGGATTCATTTTTTTTTTTCATTTATAAAAGGAAGTTATGAAATGAGGCTGGAGGCAGAGGTAAAAAGAGAGCAAAATGGTGGATCTTTTTATGAATTGGCATTATCTTCCTTTTGAGAGGTCGCTTTATGGATCCCCTTGACTAGAGAGGGCCTGATTTCATGATGTCCAGACGAGACCATTCCCTAGTACTGGCATGTTACTTATGCCATCTGTCTGCTTGAATATTTCAAACTCAACATAGCAAACCTGACCTCCAGACTGAATCTACTCTCTGACTTCTGTTATTTTTGGCATTGTAATCTACTTCGAAGTCAACATTTCCTTCTTTTTTCCCGAAACTTTCATCCTTATTCTTCGGAGCTAATGACTACATGAAAACCACTCATATAATATGAAAGGTAATATTTATGTGATGGTAAATGTTGATATTGTCTTAAACACACACACATACATTTACAACATTCAGGACAGTATTTGATCAAATAATTAATCATCACAGTTTGGCAAGTTAATATAAAATTAACAATTACAAGAGTCGGGCATATAGTAGGTACTCAACAATACTAGTTTAATGGTGGAAGCTACATCCAGATATTCACTATAATTGAAATTGTGTGACTTGGGCTATAACGGTTATAAGTACATTAATTATTATCCAAAGTAGAAGGAACAACAGTTGTGTATACATTAAACTTAGATAAAACATTAAGAGCACAGTGGCCATTTAGTGTGACTGAAATGCTAAGTTCAAGGTGACAGCAATTTGTATACAATGAATTTGGGTTAGTTAGTAGGATTTTGTTATAAATGCCTTGTATAAACTTTATAGTGTATAATGGTGATGTTGTGCCCAGATTGTGACCCCCAGAGAGACCACCAAAGACGAGCATGCCGGAATGCAAAAGCAAGGTTTAATTTCGGGATATCCAAAGGCAATACAAGCCTAGGCAGGGACTTCATCCAACAGATCCAATGCAGTGGAGGCTGGAGGAAGTGCCCACCTGTCTGTAAGCTCGGTTTTTAAAGGGAAAAAATCACAAGATTACATCATTTAGGGGTGCTAGTACGGGTACAATTCTGATTGGCTTGTGTCTAGGAATTCCAGAAATCACAATTCAATTTTCCTTCTAAGGAGGTAGTTGCCCATCACCATTTCTCATTGGCTGCCCCCAGATGGGGGCATCTGGTGATTACACAGTCACTATGGAAACTAGGGTTGGGACATTCTATGGTCAAGCAGTTGCCTAGGGGGCCAGGGAGAGGACATTCCATAGTCCGGCAGCCATTACCTCCTGACTATCTTGTGACTCTGTACTTTTACATTTCCTGGTTTCTGGAATCTGAACTGACTGGTTTTAGTAACTTCTGGCCTATTCCAGTAACTTATGGCCTGTAGCTAAAAGGAGCAGTCTTAGGCCTTAGTTTTGGGGTGAAAGCATTTTGGTCTTATTTTGGTTCCGCAGTGAGATATTGTCAAAAGATATTGTCAGAGAGGGAGTGACGAGATCAAGGACTCTAACATAGATAATGTATTAGGGACAGACCAGCAGGAAGAGTGACTGCCATAACACCTTTTCACAGTAACAGGGTCCCGTGTCTTTGGGAGAGAGAGGAAAGTGGTAAGTAGCATTATTAAAGATGGGAATCTATCCCTGACATTCAATGCAAACAAAAAATATTAGAAAAGAAGTGATTGTGCTCAACCGAAATAAGTTATTTTGAAGTAATAAACAAATGCAATTGTAACAATGGTTTGGGTTCACACAGGGAGAGAGGAGGAACTAATTATTTTCACCCTCTAAGGTACCCCCTGCTGTTCTTCAGGTTTGCAAGATAAATGCCTTAACTCATTACATTTACATAAATCCCCTTGCCGCCCCTTTGTCTTTTATCAGGACACAAACAAAATTAATTGATTTTCTAAAGTATTTCTAACTTTTTTTTTTTACATTTATTCTTTTTATTAAATTCAGTTTTGCAACATGTAAAATATCTTATCAACTTATCGCCATAAGTACAGATTTGAGAATCAATTAAAGTTTGGAAATTTAATTTCCTCCTTCATGAATATAATCTACCTCTTCTCACCTTCTGCATGATATCTACTGCTTTTATTAAAGCATACAATCCTGTGCCCTGAGGTTGAGGTGCTGAGCCTTAGAATGGCCTGAAAAATACAACAGAAAGTGTATACAGAGGATTGCAAACTCCTTTTTAAAAATAAAATGCCCGACATACATTTCCTTTAATGTGAATTGTTCATCCTCTGTCAGGATGTATGGTTTGCAAGTTGACATGTAATATTACATTGCAGTAAAGCGCAATCTCCACCCTTTACTATACTCATTAAATAAATCAGAATAACAAATATCTATGCACATGTCTGTGCTTACTGTGTTGAGTGTGCCCTAAAAAAAAAAGATGGGGTGTTTTGTTCTTCCTCTCTTCCATTGTCTGAAAGGTGAGAGCCTAACTGTAGGACACATTATCAAATGCAAATGGCCTTGACCCCACCCCCAGCCTTTGTCCTTCAGTATCTTTTCACTTGCTCACTAGAGTATCTTTAAAAGTGGTCCTGCTGTTAGACAATCGATTTAGGGAGCTCTTCCCTATTTCTCTTGCTCTCAGTATTTCTTAGTTGCCTATAGTTCTTGGTCTAGGGTTGAGGAGGCCCCATGAGATTATTTCCATGTTAACATGTCTATTGATGTCATTCAGAAAAGTGAGCAGATTTACAAGCTACATGATTGTGACCTGGTAAACTACTCCTCCAGTGACAAGACCTCTCAGAAAAAAAAGTACAGTATCTCACTAAAGGACTAATTATTCCACCTCTCTTTCTAGCACAGCTTAAATTGAGTCAGGTTTCCTAGGGATGGTCCCTTGGCCAAGTGAATAACCAGGTCCACCAGGAATGTTAGGTTTCCACCCAGCCCAGAGATGCTCTTCCTCCTCCTCCTCTTCTTTTCTTCCCTCTTTTATTGAAAATAGATATTTTTCTTCACATAATATATCCTGATTACATTTTCCCTTCCCTCTACTCCTCCTAGTTTCTCCTTACGTCGTCTTCTGACCAGTTCCACTTCCTATCTGTCTCTCATTAGAAAACAGTCAAGCGTCTAAGGGATTAAAAAAAGAAAATATATGACAAGATAAAATAGAAACTAACATATTGGAGTTGGATAAGACAAACAAACAGAAGGAAAAGAGCCCAAGAGACATACTCATTTGCACACACAGAAATTGTTATGAATTATGCCCCCCAGCTGGCCAAGCCAGGGTATCCCATTCATGCAGGGAACCATGCTGGTGTGCTCCACAGATGCAGCAATGTGCAACCCACTCCATGCCAGCATGGCAGCGGGGTGGTGGGTAGATGTTCATAACCCAGACACTGCATCTGCATGGAAATGGTTTATTATAATAGAAAGATGAAGAGAACATAGGAAAGAAAAGAGAAAGAGAGGGGGGACAAGGGGTGCACACCTTGTGGAAGTGGAAGAGAGAGAGAGAGAGAGAGAGAG